GGGGGGTTGAGGGGGGGGAAGGGAAGGTGGGGGTGAAACGCAGGTCCTCGGGCTTCGCCACCAGTGCCCTTACCTGTGGATACATCTCTACCGCCCTTAAAAAAACAAAAAAACAAAAAACTTTTAAGAGGTTAAATGTTAAAGTATACTTTATCATAAAAATAAATGCCACCCCCGGGGGGTGGGGTATGCAGTAAATCTTGAACTTCAGATGAATTCGAAAACAGAAAAAAATTTAAAATACCAATATCTTTCCTCATCAAACGAGAATTCTCACTCGATGTGTCATTTATCAAGAACACATTTAGGAATATTTTTAATTGTAAAAGAAAGTCATTTTCATATTGTTTTGAAGCAATACCTAGTGATTGTGTGGCACGTCGCCACAATTTTTTTTAACTGGTTCCTCAGCAACCACAGAGAGCCTCTTTTGAAAATTTAGAGAAATCGAGGGCAAGGGGAAGAGCAGTCTCCCTACTGTACGAATGCACTTCTTGAAACTTTTACATTTCTCCAAACTTTCAACCTTAAAGTGCTAATTTCAAAGCCACTTTCTTAAATACCTTTGAAAACTTAACCTTTTAAAAGCTAAGAAAATCACACTAAATTCAGAACAAACCGGACATTAAAAAACGAACAAGAGATTCCTGAATGTGAATAAACACACATTTTGGCTAGAAATTTTAACCAAATAAAACTGAGCTGGGCACACTCCCTTAATCCCAATATTCGGGGAGGCAGAGGCATGCAGATGGAAGCCACTTTGACCTACCTAGCGAAGTCCAGGCCAGCTGGGGCTACAGGGAGACCGTGTCCCCCCAAAATAAGAATAACCCCCACCCTTAATAAATGAAGAGGAGACCAATTTCAGTCCTGGAATCCGAATCCGGGAAAAGGGACACAACGATGATGCCGGTTCATATACACCCAAAAGGATTGTGATGCGCACCTGTTGAATTCGATTACAGAGTTTAAAACTTGAGCTGGGCGAGGTGGCCCTCCCAGCTCTCGGGAGGCAAAGGCAGGCGGATATCTGTGAGTTCGAGACCAGCCAGGCGTACACAGCAGGTTCCAGGGGCTGCAGGGAGAATATGTCTCAAAAAGACAAAAGAAGAAAGTTTAAAACTTGAGATAGAAGGCTTAGTGGAGGCTGGGGCAAGGTGATGTGAGCTGCACCCCAAACGGATTCACGGACTTTTTAGGTAACGACTGTGCAGCTGGGGCTGTGTTCTTGCTTCAATATTCTGCGTTTTATCTTGCTAGTAGGTCAAGAGTATTAAAAGTATGCGGACTAGGATGGGGGAATGAAAGATGGACTGGAGGATGGAGAACGGACGGGAGGATGGAAGATGGAGGACCGACGGGAGGGTAAAGGGTGGAGAATTAGATGGGAGGATGGAGGACCGAAGGGAGGACCCGAGGATGGAGGGGCGCTTTTCCCGCGCTCGCTGCGGAGCAGGGACCCGGAGGGCGGGGCGGGTGAGGCTGTGAGCTCCGCCAGCGCAGGTGGGGCGTGGCGAGGGCGTGGAGAGCAGAGCCGGGAGGAGCGCGATCCCCTCGGTTATAAGAGGCGCGGTGTCCCGCGTCTGTGTGCTCCCGATCCGTCGTTAGTCTGGAAGGTCCCGGGTGGGCCGCTGGGTTGGTCCGTCGAGGGATGCTCTCGCCCGAGTGGCGAGGCCAGCCGCGCTCTCCCCTCGCCGCGGCCGCACCGCACCCGCCCTCGGCCGCCGCCGACATGGCCCTGTACTGCGGCGACAACTTCGGCGTGTACTCGCAGCCCGCCACCGCGGCCGCCCCCGGTGCGCCCCCGGCCTCCAGGGCTCCCTACGGGCTGGCCGACTACGCCGCGCCGCCGGCCGCCGCCGCCAACCACTACCTGTGGTTCAACGGGCCGGGGGTGGGCGGCCCGACGTCGGCCGCGGGGTACCTGGGCGCCCCGCCGCCGCCGCCGCCGCCTGGAGCCACGGCCGGTCCCTTCCTGCAGCCGCCCACCGCCGCCAGCACCTTCGCCTGCGCGCAGCGGGCCTTCGCTCAGCCCTCACCGGCCGCGCCCGCCTCGCCGGCAGGCTCCGCAGCTCCGGGCGAGCTGGGCTGGCTGTCCATGGCCAGCCGCGAGGACCTGATGAAGATGGTGCGGCCGCCCTACTCGTACTCGGCGCTCATCGCCATGGCCATCCAGAGCGCGCCGGAGCGCAAGCTCACCCTCAGCCACATCTACCAGTTTGTAGCCGAGAGCTTTCCCTTCTACCAGCGCAGCAAGGCGGGTTGGCAGAACTCCATCCGCCACAACCTGTCGCTCAACGACTGCTTTAAGAAGGTGCCCCGGGATGAGGATGATCCAGGTGAGGGCGGCGGGGCAGGTGCTCCCGGGCTGGGAAGGGCGAGGAGCGGCCCCCGGCGGGAGAGAAGAACGAGCTCCAGATAGCAGGGTCTGTGTGTGGCTGGCTTGAAGATGCATGAGCGGTCTTCTCAAATTGGAGATGAGCGTATGAGAGGGGTCACAACCACTTAAACCTGGTGGTCTGATAGGGATGAGGGATCCAGGTAACAAACTATCAGATCTTCGCAGGGAGGACCCGTTGAGCTCTCCACCCGGGACAGAAGTTGGCCCATTAAAGATAAAGCGAAGAGTTCATGCTCTCAAACAGACCAAAGCTGTCCTGGGTGGTATTCATCGGACCATTTGAAGGGACAGTCTAGTTACTGGGAGGTAGATCCGGAGACAGCAGGGAGGAAGGGGCTCTCAAATACCCGACCCACAAAAACCCTTCCTCCCCTATTCAAGGAGGTATTGGGCGTAGAGCCGAAGGAAGCCAATTCGGGGTATTCACCTGAATTCCTGTAAGTGTTGTGAATATTCTCACTTGGTGGGGGGAGTTGGAGTGAAGCTTATTCCAAACAAGAGACAGATTCCTTGAGGTTTTCTGAACCAGCCCAGGACAAGGGAATGAGAGGATGTTAGGATAAGAAAATGAGAAAAAAAGATGAGCCATTTTTCATGTTTCAGTGCACGCTCCTGAGATCTAGGATTTTGTAAATTCTTTCTAGTTAATCACATTCAAAAAATTAACAGTCAGGCATGGCAGATTAAATGCCTATAATTCCATTATTTGGGAGGTAGAGGCAGAAAGATCAAGAGTTTCAAGGTCATCTACCTAGAAAGTTTGAGGCCATCCTGGACCACAAGAGAGCTTGTCTCAAAATACAAACTAACAAAATACTAATATTTTTTAATATTATTGTCTAGTAATCAAAATGTTTCAACATGACAAAATTATTAGTAATTCTTTATTATTTTATTGTTGTGTTCAAAATACTTATTTTACACCACATTTTAATTCCGACTAGCCCCACATTTCAAGCGCTCAATAGCTATGTTTACCAGTGGTGACACTATTGCACAGAACATGCAGTTCGTGAAGGTGCATCTTCTTTATGTAGCTTCTAAATCACCCGTTTATATCAGCTGTCACCTGTACTTTGAGCTTTATTTCCTTTTAGTTTTTTTGAGGCAGGGGTCCTCCTGTAACCCCAGGTGGCCTAGAACACCTTATATTGTAGATCTGACCTTGATCTCACAGAGATCCACCTGCCTCTACCTCCTTGAGTGCTGGAATTAAAGACAGGAGTCATTACACCTAGCTCAGAACTTTAAAGTTCAAAGCTATTTGTACCTGGGGAAAAAAATAATGACCAAGTCCAGCATTTGAGGGCTGGGAATCTGTAACTCTGAGCTAGAGCATTTGCCTAGCATATTGAGGTCTTGGGTTTTAATCCCTAGCACTGACTAAGGGAATAAAAGAAAAACTGTTGCCGGGCGTGGTGGCGCACACCTTTAATCCCAGCACTTGGGAGGCAGAGGCAGGCGGATCTTTGTGAGTTTGAGGCCAGCCTGGTCTCTATAGTGAATTCCAGGACAGCTGGGGCTACAAGGAGACCCTGTCTCAAAAAGACAGAAAAAAGAAAAGAAGAAAAACTGTTGATGCCAAGTTGACCCAATAGACCTCTCCAGATAGGTGCAGCTAGTGTCTGAGTAGACAGTGTGTGTGCCTGCCCTTGCTTTCGTTTTTCCCCTAGCAACCATCAGAGAAAATACTGCACTAGAGAAAATGGGCTTGCAGAGGGTGCATGCTAATTTGAGGAGTGCTTGGTAGGCTGAGGGAGTAGGATCACAAGTCCAAGGCCAGCGTAGGCTTCAAAGAGAGACCCTGTTTCAAAAGAAAAAGAAAACTGATAGTGGTTGGTTAGTTTGGAGCCAACCTGCAACTGCCTCCACTGTTGCAATGATGTGTGGCACTTATAGCTAGTAACCACTCTGAACCTAACCTGTCATCTGAAACGTGAAGAAACAGCAGTGTTCCCAGTCTCCACACAACTGAGAAGTAACAAGGTTATTCATGGAAAGCACTCTCACTGCAAGGCAGGTGGGGACTTTCTAAATATCAAAGGTACTTTTAAAGATTAAAGTTGGAAAAACCTATTGAGTGATTCCAAGATGACAAATTTTTCGTATTTCAATTATAGTGAGGGCAGTTTCAATTTTTTTTCACATTTATTTATTTATTTGTGTGTACTCAAGCAAGGCATACACATAGAGGCAAGAGGGCAATTGCAGGCATTGGTTCTCTCCTGCCTGTGGGTCCCTCCAGGATTGAACTCAGGTTGTCAGGTTGTTGGCAGGAAGTGCATTAAATGAGTGTCCAACATTTGTCAGTGGACAAAAAGACCTTACAGAAGTTTTGCAGGCCATGGTCAGCCCGAGATGAGCAGAATTTCCTTGAAATTCAAACAAGGGAAATCCAATGAGTTGTTAATTTTTTTGCTCAGTAGAAACCTTTTTTTAAAATCATTTTTTGGTTGCTTTTTTCCAAAGCAATAGTTTTTTGTTTTTTGTTTTTTTTTTCCCAGCAGTAGGAGTTGCGTATTTTTGGGAAAGTAAATTGTAGTAAATACTGTGTTCTCAGCTGTTCACTGTTTGCTATACTATGCCAAGGTTAACTACTAGGCCTCGAAGTTAAGCTAGCACATGGGTAGTACCATCTCTGTTTTATAAAAGAAATGAAAGCTCATGTGTTTTAAGTAGCATCAGAATTTCATAATTTTGCAAGGTTACGTAATTCGGATCTAGAATAAGGGAAGGTGCTAGATGCGTCAGAAATAGAATTAGGTCTTAAGACGCTACTAGAAGGAAGCAGAACTGACTCGAACAACTTAATTCTGCATTTCTCCTTGAAGTGGGTAAAGCCTTTGTCGAATTTAACAAGCTGCTTTCCTCCCAGTGATCCTCCCTTACCCTCTTTTCACTTTGAGGGTTCCACTTAAGCAAGGTCTAAACCTGTCACAATGGTACACATCTAATCCCAGGTCTCAGGAGGTAGAGGCAGAAGGGTCAGGAGTTCAGGGCCAGCCTCAGCTACATAGCAAGTTTGGAGCCGCAAGGCCCTGTCTTAAAGTGGAAGGGGGAGAGGGGAAGGACCCCAAGAGCTACAGGTGAAGCTCAGTTGGTAGTATACTTTTCTATCATGCATGAAATGCCTGCTTTTGATCCCTAGCACCATGTAAAACTGGACATGGTGCTACATCTCTATGATCCTAGGGAGGTAGAAGCAGCCAGATAAACAATTCAGTGTCATCCTCATTCTCGGCTACATAGTAAGTTTAAGGCCAGCCTGGGAAGATGAGACAGTCTTAAGAAAAATTCCAGCCTGGGCATGGGGGCACATGCCTTCAATCCCTGCACTTAGGAGGCAGAGGCAGGTGGATCTATAAAGCAAGTTCCAGGCCAGCTGGGGCTACAGGGAGACCCTGTCTCAAAAAGACAAAAACAAACAAACAAACAAACAAACAAACAACAACAACAAAAAAAAAAACAAGAAAGAAAGGAAGGAAGGGAAAGAGAAAGAGAGAAAAAAAAGAAAAATTTCCAGAGTCAGGTAGAGCCAGGTGTGGTGGTGCACACCTTTAATCCCAGCAGAGGCAAGTGGGTCTATGTGAGAAGGAGGCCACCCTGGTCTATTTAGCGAGTTCCAGGCCTGCTGGGGCTACAAAGAGACCCTGTCACAGAAACAAAAAATTCCAGAAACAGATCATATTCATAGCTTGTAATATTGTTGTAGTGATTTTATAATTTTATAGTTTTGCTAATCTGTTACTGTACCTAATTTACATATTAACTTTATCATAGAACCATAGGATTTGGTGCTAGCTATAGTTTCAGACACCCACTGAAAGTCATTAAACATAAGAGGGACTTCAGTGTGCACAGGAGTAAAAGGTGCTTCTCCAACTCTCCTTTTTTCTCAGGGAAAGGTAATTACTGGACTCTGGATCCAAACTGTGAGAAAATGTTTGACAATGGGAACTTTCGCCGCAAGCGAAAGCGCCGCTCTGAGACCAGCAGCAGCTCCTCGGTGGCTACAGGGACATCCAAATCAGAAGGGCTGACCTCTGGACTAGGGACTGGAGTGGGTGTGAAGCTGGAAGGAAACAGCCCTTCCTCTCTGCTGAGGCCTTCTCAGTCCCCAGAACCATCGGAGGGCACCAAGAGTCCTGCCTCCTCTCCCGGAGCATCTGCACTCACCTCCACTCCGTGCCTCAACACCTTCTTCAGCAGCCTCAGCACCTTAAATGCCAACCACAGCGGCAACACCCAGCGAGCCATCCCGAGCAGCCGGCACCTAGGGATCCAGAGCACCCAGCTGCCGTCCAGCCCATTCCCCAACACCTCCATTCCTGATAGCTCACCAGACTCTTTGCAGCTGAGCACTGTGGGAAGCAACCAGAGATCCCCCTACTATGGCGCTTTCCCTGGCAGCACCAGCGGGGGCCAGAACAGCCCCTTCAGCAGCCCTTTCTACAACTTCAGCATGGTCAACAACCTTATCTACCCCCGGGAGGGCTCTGAGGTGTAGGCAGTACACCTCAGACTGTCAAATGCACACTTGATCCCTTTTGAATGCAGACTCCAATGAGGAGGTCTGGGTTGGATTGGGCTTCTTTCTGCCTTATTTCTGTGAGCTCCACAGTGGTCCTGTAGTCGACTGACTATGCTCAGACCAGCCAGGGTAACTTCTATACCCCAGCAAGCTTTTCCAGCCTTCTCCGGCTATCTGCCTCTCTGGAGAAAAAGCCACCTCCTCTTCTGGGGTAGGTAGCCTGTGAGCTGAGGAACGATCTATTTTATTAGTCACTTGTATATCAGAGTGGCAAACTCAAGGCAGCTGGAAAAAAAAATTAGGCAATGAAGTTATGAGCGGGAAAAATGAAAGCAGTTGGCAGTTGAAGTAGCCCAGAATGATTGAAACTGACCAGCGGAAGTCTCTGAGCAGCTGGTTATTTCCTCAGTGGCAGCATTCTGATTTTTTGAGAAAAGCCAAATAATCTGGATTTTTAGACGAAGCCTCCAATTTTGTGTCCTTTGTTTCTAGGAAACACCACAAATCCTTGCTGTATCCAGCTCAGAAATGACCTCTGTCTGGGGCCTGGTAGGTTGTGACAGCAGGAAGGCTGTGTACACAGCCCTTTGTGCCAAGCTTTGTTCTATACCCAATGTGTATTAACTCATTTAATCCTCAGTAACTGTGGGAGATGGGTGCTGCTAGCCCTCACTTTCCACATGGGAGAAGCAGAGCTCTGAGTTGGTAGCTAACATGCCCATGTTCTAACCTCTATATTAATTAGAATTTTTTGTTGTTAACCTTTATGTTTTATTTATTTTAGGTCCCTTTCACTTCTCAGAGATAAAAACTTCATTTAAATGATTTGTGTAGGCATGTCCCCCAGTGCCTAGCAGAGGACCTGGTGCATCATCAAGTGGGGAACTCAGTCATTTTTTGAGTGGTAACTTATTCAAAAGGTGCTAATCAGAAATGGGAACAGCTGGATTTATGGAATAGCCCTCCACTAAAATGAAGGAAATGTCCTTGGGACCATGTTTTTGAAGCTTTGACATGATTGATTTTTGGAGTTTAATGATTTTTTTAGAGATAGGATTCACATTCCACATGCACATTGTGGGGGAAAAAAACTAACTTCTGTGTATTTTCCCTTCTTTTTTTTTTTTTTTTAATGTTCCCTGTGTATTAGAACTTATAGCATTGCTTTTAACTTTTTTATGTTTTAAATATGTGGAAAATTTGAATGGCTTCTTGAGATAAAAATTGCATCACCATTACTTACTAAATGTTAGGCAAAAAGACAACCAAAGAAACTACCCAGGCTCATACTTTGTACATAAAAGTTTTCTACGGATATTTTTGTATGTGAAGAATTAAGGACTTCTGTGAATAGTGTTTCTAACAACTCTATTTGTAAATTAATTTATAATGTCAACTGGAGCTTCAAAGAATTTTTCCCAAGAAAATGCTCTGCATGCTAAGAAGAATCATATGAAATAAACTTAAAGTGGGGTGACTTCTGGCTCCAAGGTATTAACTGCTTTTCTGACTTAAACTGCCTTTTTGCAAAGGAACAGAAAGATGAGTGACCCAAGCCACTGCAGGGACTGTGCTGAGAGCAATTGGGTTTCTTCCTATCCACATCTGAAAGGGCTGGAATAAAAGTTACTCTTCATGAAGGGTCTTACAAGGCATGAGTATTTGGTTTATCTCTGACATAGTAGCAGTTCTGTTTAGATTAAGCTGAATGAGCTGGAGCTAGAGCTCAGTGGTAGAGTGCTTGCCTAGCCTGCCTGAGGCCCTAAGATCATGGTCTGATTGGGTGGGGGGTAGGAAAATAGAAGCCTAGTCTCAGTGTAAGCAGCGGTCTGCCTTAGGCTGTACTCCTGGTGGAGTTCTGAGGTTTGAGCATGGTCTTCAGGGAAAGGGACATAGACAGCCTATCCTTTCCAAGCAGGGAGCTGGAAATTTGAACTTGGCCCATCCAGAAAGTTCTTTGTTGTATAAGGTATCTTGTATAGTATAGGATGCACACCCACACAGCTGAAATATGGTAGGTGGTCAGATAGGGAGGTAACTCAGTTGAAAATATTTTCTAGCCCAAAACAATTTGCCAATGAGGAAACGGCACCCCCACCCCACCCTTATTGGTCCTAAAGTCAGTAGTAGGACCTGCTGATTGGCCCTTGGGCCCCTGGTACTGGAAGTCTGGTCCTTTTGGGGGCGGGGCAGTGCTGGGTATTAAATCCATTGAAGGCCTCATGCATTCAAGACAAGTGTTCTACCTACTACAATCTGTTCCCAGATCATGTATTGCCTTTTTTTTTTTTTTAACCTAAAACTTATTTGTGAACAAGGACAACCCAAACAATTGAAATAAGACCTGGTTTGTTCCACATATGAGGCAGAATCCTCTAAATGTCAGTTCACAATAAAGTCACTGCCTTCTAGCAGGAGAATAATTTAGACTAAATTGTGAGGAAGGAGAAGTGGGCATCAGGTGTGGGGATTGCCTGAAGAAACAAAAAGCATGGTCAAATCATAATTACAGAGTACTCGGTTTCAGTAGTTAATAGACGGTAAATGCCAGAATGGTGCCACTTATGAAGGCAAAGGCTAAGAACCTATTGCTCTTCTTTGAACAATGGCCAAGGTCGGTAGGGTGGCTCAGTCCCTGGTACCAAATTCCACCAGGACACTGGGTATACATCTGCTAGGTATCAGCTTAAAGAGCAAATAGTTGCTGCATGGGCCAGGGATGCTTCCAGGTCAGAGCCAGCACCCAATTGCCACCAGCTTCCTTCGTCTTTGTATTCTTCCTGGGAACCAAGTCAGAAATTCTGGATTTGAGATAGGCCACACTTTTTCTTGCTCAGGACAGTACAGAGGACAAAATGTGATGCTTTAATATGTAGCTAGATGTTTTCCTGGGAGATGGGGACTGATAAACAGGCCGAGGCATATGACTATGACATTCCAGAGTAAAAGGACGATTTGAGGAACTGATAAGCAGATTTCACATTTCTATCTGGGCACATGTATCATATTTTGGGTTTTATTTTTTTGGGGGGGGGGGTGAAAGTCTTTTGTAGCCTAGGCTGGCCTGAAGCTCACTAGGCTAGCCTTGAACTCATCCTTGTTTGTCCACCTCCAGAGTGTTGGGATTCCTAGTATGACATCATGCCTGGTCCATCATGATATTTTGAAATCTATTTCATTCTTTTAACTTCCACAAAAAGTATCTGAAGAGGCTTTGCTGGCCTACCCTGGGGCCGGACAGTGTTCCCAAATCCTTCCCAGGGCAAATCTACTTGGCCT